GGGTTCAACTTTAATGGAGTCTTGTCTACAGTCTCGATTACAAGGAAACGTGGCCAATACTCAATCGATTTGGGTAGTCTGTGGTCATCATCAACAGGGTCATTGACAAGAGGACGTTTGGGTTTTTTTGTTGGTGTTTCATAAGCGATGGTTATTTTGTTAGATTCCATCATCCGAGCTCCCCACCCATCATGGAGTATCACAGGGACAATGCCCAAAACAAGCGGATCTCCGACTTACAGCACCAAAAATACCCGGATGACATACTCCAGCAGAAACATTAAAAGATTAATGAATCCACCAGATTGGGCCATGTGCCACCGCCTTCTGGGCATACGACTCTAGGCAAAAACATACGTGAAATTATGCAGTTGAAATTCAGAAATTCCAAGTTCAAAAATTGCCAAGACTTAAAAATATCATATAATACTTCTCAAATTTTGTGCAACATTTTCAGTTGTAGCAAAGGGCTTTGCGTGACCAGCCGATTGATAGAACCGGGCCAGTTCTACCACCCGTCTAGGTGAAGTAAGGGGCAAAGTGGTGTGTTGGGCAAAGGAACGCTGTTCCTGGAACCAGTGCCCTCAACCACCAGACTCCCGTCCTCCACCGACACAGGGGCCCAACCCACGGCAAACTTGTTGGTGGACCAACTATACCCCCGGGTTCACAACGGGGGGTCGATGAGCGCTTATCGTGACCCAGCACCCACCACGAGGAGGTAGCTTAATTAAAGATTAAAGACACAGTTAAATGCAGGGTAAGACTCGCTAGTATATAGTTTAGTAATGTATTGTAAAGATAATTTTATACGACGTTGTGTAAGAGAAGGCTCATTTGCTTCAACATAGAGACTTTCAACAGCAGAGGTTCTAAAGGACCCAAGACAAAGTCTCAGGCCTTGGTGATGGACAGAATCAAGTAGCCTTAGGTTGCATCTGCCTTAGGTTGCAAATACATAAATCATTATCTGAACAAAACTCCTCTAGTAATTTACCTTTAGCGTTTGTATTTGCACTACCCCAGACTGGGTTGTGTCCATTTAAATCTCCCATAATAATACAGGGCTTCGGGAGTTGGTCAGATAGAGCTTGAAGATCAGTTTTGTGAAACGTTGAAGACGGAGATATGTAGAGAGAGCATAATGTAAATGCAGCGTGCAAAGTTATTCGTACTGCAATAGCCTGAAGATTAGTAGTAAGTACAACAGGGCTATGGATAACGTTCTGTATCACTAGGATGGAAGAACTTTGACATACCAGGAAGTGATTCCTCAGTCTGAGATGATATCGCAGGGTACAAATTCTGTGACCCAAGTCAAGGTTTTTTGGCAGCTAGTGGATGATTTTGTTATTTTAGAGCTAGACTCAGATGGTGTTTTTGCAACTGCAGAATAACTCTCCAGAAGGTCGGATCTCTTTACCAGTTTTTTTGCCACAGAAAAAGTGATATTTGGGGTAAATTTGATTTTGTTAATTGCCATTTGCTCTTTCCAAATGGGACACTCTTTAGAAAAAGCTGAATGGTCGCCCGAGCATTTGGGGCATTTTTTAAAAGTACTGTTACAATCTTCTGTTGTGTGTCTTTTCTCACTACAGTGAGCACACACAACAAGCAATGTACAAGTATTTACACCGTGTCCATATTTCTGGCATTTAAAACACCTGAGTGGGTTAGGGATGTAGGTGTCAACGGGAATGTTACAGTAACCTGCCTTCAGCGATTTGGGAGCATTTGGAGATGAAAAGGAAAACAGATATGTATTGCGTTTGAAAGTTTCTTTGTTGTTTTGGGGTGTAAAGCGCTTAACATAAAGAACACATTGATCTTTCAACCCTGATACCATGTCAAGTTCCGTCATATCATCAAACAATCGATCACGGTCTCTCACAATTCCTTTACTTGTGTTCAAAGTTTTATGAGCAGAGGGAGAGACCTGAATGCCAACGAAGAATTCCATATTCATCAAGTTGGTTGATTGCTGTTTTTTCGCGCATTCAACTAGCAGCGCACTTGAACGGAGACGTTTAATGTTCTTTACATCCCCAGCAATACCTTGAATACCCTTAGATACTGCAAAAGGGTTCAACTTTAATGGAGTCTTGTCTACAGTCTCGATTACAAGGAAACGTGGCCAATACTCAATCGATTTGGGTAGTCTGTGGTCATCATCAACAGGGTCATTGACAAGAGGACGTTTGTGTTTTTTTTGTTGGTGTTTCAAAAGCGATGGTTATTTTGTAAGATTCCATCATCCGAGCTCCCCACCCACCATGGAGTATCACAAGGACAATGCCAAAAACAAGCGGATCTCCGACTTACAGCACCAAAGATACCCGGATGACATACTCCAGCAGAAACATTAAAAGATTAATGAATCCACCAGATTGGGCCATGTGCCACCACCTTCTGGGCATACGACTCTAGGCAAAAACATACGTGAAATTATGCAGTTGAAATTCAGAAATTCCAAGTTCAAAAATTGCCAAGACTTAAAAATATCATATAATACTTCTCAAATTTTGTGCAACATTTTCAGTTGTAGCAAAGGGCTTTGCGTGACCAGCCGATTGATAGAACCGGGCCAGTTCTACCACCCGTCTAGGTGAAGTAAGGGGCAAAGTGGTGTGTTGGGCAAAGGAACGCTGTTCCTGGAACCAGTGCCCTCAACCACCAGACTCCCGTCCTCCACCGACACAGGGGCGCAACCCACGGCAAACGTGTTGGTGGACCAAATATACCCCCGGGTTCACAACGGGGGGTCGATGAGCGCTTATCGTGACCCAGCACCCACAACGAGGAGGTGGCTCTTCACGGGTGCCGGCCTTTAAATGTAACTTTATGTGCTGACAAACTTAAACCTGGAATTTTTATTGACGTTAATGATGCAATAAAATGTGTTGTTTTTTTCTGATGAACTGAACAACATAGCAGATGAGTGTATCATTTGTAGCTCTCTGAAATTCCACACATTAGAAAACCATAGTTCAACAATGACTACAAGCAAGCTAGAAAGGCAAGGAAAAGGCCTGAACATTATTTCCGTCGCCATTTGTGGTCCACAATTCCAACAAATTTATGATGTTCAATGCTAAACCACGGCGTACTTTTAAAGAAAGTAAACGCCATTCTTGACGAATGTATCTATCAAAAATAAATTCACGTACGCCGATATCAAATTTATGAAACATGATCAAGAAAATCAATGGTAAGGGCACCAAATCTAGCATTAACCATCTTAAAGTTGGGGACGAATAATTGACTACTAAATCAGATATTGCAAATAAACTTGGTGAGACATTAGCTAAACATTCAATTTCATAAGTATCAAAAACAGCAAGAACAGAAATCTATAAATTTCAATTCTGACAATTGGGAAGATTATAATGACATATTGTCTATTCATGAGCTTTATAGCTTTTTGAACGAGCTCACGATACTGCTACAGGAGCTGATAACATACATTATCAACTCCTGAAGCACTTACCACAATCCTGTTTAAAAATCCTTTTAGATATTTTTAACACCATATGGACGTCGGGGAAATTTCCTTCATCATGGCGAGATGCAATAGTAGTCCCAATACCTAAACCTGGACGTGATCATACCGATCCTTCCAATTATCGACCAATCAATCACAAGCTGCGTTTGCAAAACCACGGAACACATGATACATAATCGACTCGTTTGGTACATGGAAACAAACAATCTTTTAACTGATATACAATGCGGTTTCGGTAAAATCAGAAGGACAATTGATCATTTAGTGCTTTTGGTATCTAGAGAATCAAACAACACTACTTTAAAACATGGTACTTTGAAAGATTTACATGAGTTTGGATTGAGAGGCCGTTTGTCTCAATATATATCCAACTTTTTAAATGGCAGATTCAAGTCCGAGTCGGCTCAACCCTGTCTGATCATTATAATCAGGATCAGGTGTTCTACAAGGCAGTATTTTGTCCGTAACATTATTTAGCATTCAAACAGATAGTCTTCCTGAGGTTTTCAATGATTCAACCGATGGATGCCTTTTCGTTTCTTTTTGTGGTAAAAACATGCGAACCATTGAGAGACAGTTACAGATCTGTCTTAATACAATTCATAGATAGTGCCTTGAGAACGAGTTTAATTTTTCTAAATCAGAAACCAACTGTATACATGTTCTTTATACAATCCGCATAAAGACCCTGCACAGTTGTAAAGGAGGCCAAGATCTTAGGTCCTATTTTCGACTCACATTTTATTTTTCTGTCGCATATTAAAGGCCTTAAAAAGTAAGTGCCTGAAGGCACTGCATTTGCTAAAAGTTGGGGAGGGGATCAAACTACACTCTTTCACTTATATAGATTGCTGGTCCGATCAAAACTTTATTATGGTTCCATCGTATATGGTGGAGCCTGCAAAAGCAATCTCAAGCTACTTGATTCTGTCTACCATCAAGGTCTAAGATTTTCTCTTGGATCCTGCAGGACTTCTCCTGTTGACAGTCTCTACGTCGAGGCCGATGAGCCTTCTCGTAACCAACACCGTATAAAATTATCCTTACAGTATACCACATAACTATATTCTAACGAGTCTAACACTGGATTTAATTGTGTTTTTAATCCTCTATATAAGGTCTGATTAACAAGATACCAAGGAATAAGAATTAAACTATTTATTTCTGCTTCTGGCATTGCGCTAGAAAATAACTCTGACAAAGTGTAAACAATCAGAAACTAATGAATAACGATATAAACAAGAATTTAACATATTAAAAAATAACTATACTACAAACATATGCTTATTTACAGATGGATCCAAGAAAGGTGGCGCAGTTGCTTGTGCCACTGTCGTTGGATTCAGAACAATATATGCTAGATTACCAGACGACGGTATGTATATACAGCTACATTCATATATACTAAGAAGATCATGTTTAGCAACTTCTTCGGGTGTAGTGAGATTCATAGAACATCATATAATTCATCATATAAACATATGCGTAAAATACTTACAGTCAGTTCTGAAGTAGATGTTAACCACGGCTGACTGTACTTGTATCTGCAGATCCACCTTCCACCAGGCGAAGGAATGGTACAATTGGGTGTGGACTGCGTAAGCCGCTTCTGTTGCAGTAGTCACTCCATCTACAGCATTACTAGCAACCCTTGTAGCACCTCTTCCGGTACTCATCCACGCTGGTTTGCCCCGGGCGACATTCTGTCCCACACCTGCAGCAGATACTATATATTGTAACATATTTGATTCTCATCAATACTGTGTTCTCGTATTTAACTAAGTGACTTGTAATGTAGCTCCACATGTAGTGTAACAAATTGACATCACTTGAGACATTGTCAGAGAAAAGTATTACAATGTGTGCAATATTGGTGGTATTGCTCTGGTAAAAGATCTGATAGATGTCGAGTTAAAGATTCATGCAAACATATGAATTTATAATAAAGCACTTCAAACAGATTGTACTGTACACTGAAAGTTGAAGGATGTTTAAAATAAACGATTTGTTACCATTTCCTCTGTCAAAATACTTTTCCCTATCTCATGTTCGTTTATGTTGTGTCAGCAGCTGATTTTGGGTCGGTTGTATATCTCATTCTTATAAATGTACCAGTTTCAGTGATGTGTCCGATAGATGAATATTTGATTGAAGATTTCTTCCGCCAAACAGTTCAGTTTATTGAAATGCTACGACTGACTGACTGACTGAGTTTAGTTTTACGCCGCTTTTAGCAATATCCCAGCAATATCACGGCGGGGGACACCAGAAATGGGCTTAACACATTGTGCCCATGTGGGGAATCGAACCCGGGTCTTTGGCGTGACGAGCCAACGCTTTGACTACTGGGCCACCCCACCGCCCCTGAAATGCTACGAAGCGATTCAACAGAGGAATTCCAACATATGTTTGATCTATCGAAAGGTTTACAGAAATGAAAAGTAAAAACAGTCGTAGGCAACAAGTGGTGGAATCATCTTGCATACTTTATGATAGTCACAAATTATTCAATTCTAAAATGCGACAGCAATGACAAAGTTTTAAAATAAACTTTTCTTTAGCGAGAGTGGGACTATTTTCTAAATCAGAAGTAACAGTAAATTAGTCGTAATTGCTCCGTTCCAACTGAGTAATGGACAAAGGTGAGCACCTCTGATTTTTAAAGCCCTGCTAACTGGACTGATGGTTTGGGTGCTCTGATTGGCGTTTACCGGACGTTGTTTGAAGTAAAGTAACATGTAAGTCAACTCTCTATTTTGCAAGGATTTTGATGCTTTGACAAACCACCAGGCATTGAGTATATTTTGATCGTCACTATGTGGCTGGAATAATGCCGATGTGACGTAAAGCCCAACTCAACTCAACTGAGTATATTTTGACATCTGACACACAAGTAATTTCGGTAAGATCATGGAAATATATTTGGAGATTTTAGGGGAAAGACCTTTTCAGAGGTCACCTTACCACGTAAATATGTGCGGATGACTAGATTTTAACTCCAAAGGGAAATAATTTGTTAGATTGCATTCATAATTTCCAGTTTATACATTTACATCTTGCAGACATGTGTGACACTATTTGCCAGTAATGTTCAGCCCTGCAAGTTTTTAATTCAGTAGTGTCACTCCGAATTTACATGTTAATATTTCATCAGTAAATGGAAATCAGGGTCATAATTATTGACTTTTGACTGAACTTTGAACATTGTCTTCCCTTGGACCACACAGGCAATTTCATCAGTATAAGTGACTATGCATTGTGTATTATTAACACTTCTCTGTAAAGAAAAGTTTACAGAAAACTCTCTCTCTGTTGTTAGGAAAACAAAGTAAAGATGAAATAATTACTGAAAGGTAAGTGTGGAAGTGATTTAATGGTGGTGTTGTTTGTTGTTTAGATCCTGAGAGGGGAGTGATCTGATCCTTGGAGAGATTCACTCTTGAGTGAAACTTACGGGGAGTAGATACGAGAGATGTATTTAGATTGTAGCAATTTTAGCTTTCATTGACTCAGGCGTACAAGGAGACTGTGTAGCGACTGGATCCAAACGCGATCCCTCTTCACATCCATACTCTAAACCGTGAAAATCCGTCTTAGAATTGTTCTTCAGCCCATGCTTGAGGTAACAGGCGACTAACGGCAACGGATGGTCAGGCTCCCTGACTTGACAAATGTCATCGTATACCAATTGCGTAGATCGATGCTCATCCTGTCGATCACTGGATTGCCTGGTCGACCACTCATTATTTACAGACGGCCGCCACAAAGCTTGGACACTGCTGAATAGTATTTAAACGACAAACAAACAAACAAATGCGGCGTCGCTATTTCTACAAGAACAGCAAACAGGATATGTTCCGTGGACGTGCATCACTTTTTGCATAGAGTATTGGTGTTGTTTTGGTTTGTTCATTTTTTTTCATAACACCTCACGCAGAACTATATACGCCAACTAAATGGCTGCGGTCTGAAAATAATCGAGTCTGAAAAAGACAATCCTGTGATGAACAGCATGAGCCCGACACTGTTAGTCGTGTCCTGTGCGAAACTTTACTTGCAGTCAAGGGACATAAATGACGTAGTATGAAACTCTCGCATTGAATAACAGAACAAAAGTCTCTCGCTGTAGTGACTATAAATCCTCACTAATCTAAGCCTATCTGACTTTAATAATTAGGGACTCATGAATACCTATTGAAAGTTGAGGATCCCCCGTTTTGCATCCATTGTGATGTAAGAATCACGATAGTAGCATACACAATCGGGGTACGGGACCAGGTCCTTATCCAAGGCTTAATTAAAAATTAAACCTTGGATAATTCCCTAATCCCGTACCCCTATTGTGTATACTACTACTGAGGTGCAAGCAAACGTTGATGAAAATCGGTGGAATAGTTTCTGAAAAATTGACTTTCAAGTGAGCATGGGGTCGGTTGGGAAAAGGCAAAATGTCCAACTTTTTGTCGTAATTAAGTCTTAATCAATCTAATGAAGGCATCGAGCGTGATCCCAATGCCGTTTTCCTATAGCGTAACAATCTGCCAAGATGCATGCAAAATTTCGGGCACATAGTTTATGAAATAATCACTTTTTTAGTGAGCATGGGGTCGGTCTGGTAATCCAACGTATTGTCGTACTTGTTATATATTGTCGAGGCCAGAGGTGTTTTTAGGTGTCTCGGAAGTCATCACCTCGCTACCGTCTCGGGGGTCTCTTTGGGCGAGCACTGTGGACGAGTATAAGTGTGTGTGTCTCTCGTCTTGGCTATGATGATGATGCATGGCCGGCTGCCTAGCGAGGCTACAGATGTCTGAAAGTGAATGAAACACATCTTTCGGCAGTTTCCTCCCCGGGTCGTCTCAGTATCACCGAGCAGTGTGTGGCTAGGCTCAGCTTGTACAGCCGACTGGCTGGCAACGTTATGATGATTTCCACTAAATCATGCCGCATCTCTCAGCAGTTTCCCAAGGTCGACTCGCTGAAGTCTTGTATGGCCTGTTTCTTTCCTTGTTCTATGAATTTTATTTTCTCGTCTTCGCAAATGATGGCGTTTTAACGAGACTTGGTCCGAATCTCTTGTTTCATTCTGTTATATTTTGCGATTTCTGAGAGCACCAAACGAAACTATTCTTCGGAGATTTTAGAGTTGGTGAGCGTGGTGGAAATATGATCGTCTATTTTGTTAAACTTTGCTTCAGCTAGAATTCTAATTTTGTCATGTTTCAATGGTTCACATTGCAGTCTGCAAGACACGTACTTAAGGGTCAATCCCATCAACCCTACCACTCTGGCTGTTATTTCAATGCCTAGCACCTTGTGTGGCCACGATTGTGGATAATAAGCCGAATCCCATGCTGACTGAAACCAGAGCGCTGTCAACACCATCCACGAAATTGACAGCCCTGTGATATTTTTTCTGTAATGTCGACCGTGTATCGCATTCACATTCTCGTTGTTTGACCTCACATATCTGTTGCAAACGAAACCCGTCTAAGGTTTCAAGTGTTTTGCTACTTCATCCACGACTGGGTACGGTCCCATCCTGTGTGAGTATATATATATATATACTTTTTTATAAAATAATATTTCATTGGTTTTCCGTTAATATCTGATCGATGTATTTGAGGCTGATAAGGTTTAGATTATCTACACGTAAATATTCGAGACATGAATCAATTATTTTTCTATAACACACACTCCATCGAGGCTTATTAAGGGTGTCGATCCTGATTTTATGACGATACAACACTGTTGGTGATTGTGTCTGTCGAAGCAGCATGTTATCAACCCAGTCAAAAGTGTTCGTTCTGATCTCACACAAGCGTCAGTGAGATAGACATCTACTATGAGCGTTGTGTGTGATTTGATAGTAAAAGTTGAATCGAAAAAATCCCCTTGGTAAATCAGGTACGTCAAACCGTTAATATGAACCCACGTCATTTGAAGCTAACATGCTGCCCGTCTGACCTGGTATTTGTAAAACTTGTACATCAAACTCTGGAGTGAAAGATGTGAGAAGGATCCCGTTGTTCGTGAGGGTCATGTCGATCAACCAGTCTGGCTGTTTGAAGTCTGCACGTAAACTTTGTCTTTTAAGTGCAGGACATACAAGGTGTTTTCCTCGCCAGGCAGATCGAATTCCCGCATGTCCCTGAGATCGGCTAGCGTTACGTTTTGATGATGGTTGTTCATCGGTTGTTTTATACAAAGTTACGAAATGGTTTTCAATTGGTTATCGGATAATTCCTCGGACGTGCACTTTAAACCCATGAGATGTATGTTGTCGGGTAGCAAAATTTGAGTGAGCGATATCGTGTCTTCCATGGTCACTGTGACTCGCTTCAGACTGGTGTAGGTGTTAACGTTCACCTGCATGTAAATGGAGCAAAATGGGTATTGTTGTTGTTTGTCCCAGCAGAGTTTGATCCCTTTCACGATTTCGACGATGCATCACGTGCCGACAGGGGTTAGCCGAGGTAGACTTGAATGTACAGCATGGATTTAGCTGGCAGATTTTCCAGGACGTCTACCACACTGTCAAATTCTGACACCATCTGCAATCCCAAGTTTTGCATCCTGGGTTTGTTCGACAGCATGTGGGCTACTCTTTTCCTCAACGTGCTGACGATCATGCTGCATCTTTGTGTAGGGACGTAAGCCACAAGTAGCATCCCGTTGTTAATGACTTTCGTCAGGTAGTGAGATGAATATCGGGATGGCACTAAT